GTGTGTGTGTGTGTGTGTGTGTGTGTGTGTGTGTGGGTGTGTGTGTGTGTGTGTGTGCAAAACACTGGATCAAGGACAATGACAAATATTCAGGCTTGAATTCCAGTTTCCCTGTCAATAAAATAAAGAACAAAGTCAAAGCCAAATTATTTTTGATTAATTTCAAATTGTTTCCTAATTATTTTAGTATCAACATCAACTTCAACTGAACAACTAAAGTTCTGAACAACTTAAGAAGAGGTAAATAAGAAGAAGAGATAAAGTATTTCAAAAAATCCTGTCCTATCCGAATTGTGATCTGAATGCATTATGGTGCCAAACACATTTTGCTATTGCACGAACAGCTAGAGTGTCTATGGGTCCATCCTCTTCATGTGAATCTTTAATCTATTTATTTATTCATTTTAATTTGTTTTATTTCAGCTATTACATTGTATGATGATGTATACAGCAAGACAGGCAAGAGAAATAAACAAAAATAAAACCAACCAAAAAGGAGGAGGTGGGGGATAGAATAAAGGGATAGAATACAAATAGAAATACAAAGGGGTGTCAAGTCTAAGATATTAGATGTTAAGATAAGAAGGGAAGAGTGCATGATCAGTGCTTTTTACCACACTGTTCTACTTGAGGTATGGTTAAGATGTAGTTTTGCACTCTATACCCTTAATATTCTTGTAAACAATCAAGCCTGTTTCAAACCTCACAATTGCTGTGCAGCCCTACCGTATAATGTTTTAGTTTAAATTTGACAGGTATACGGCTCTTACTTGGCTGGCCAGTGTTAGGTTTATGGTCAACACTTAAGACCATCTTTAGATCAATACTTTAGATTAACATTAGTTTGTGAAAAGACGATGCCTTGAACTTTCATATTACTTGATTCCACATTAATATGGAGCTTGCAAAGAAAAGCGTCTGGACTTTGTGACTGTTTGGTCTCTCCAATGTAGAGGTCTGGGCCTCTACATTGGAGAGACCAAACAGCCACTTCACAAGGGCATGGCACAACACAGAAGAGCCACCTCCACAGGACAAGACTCAGCAGTCCATCTGCATCTAAAGGTCAAAGATCACTCTTTCGAGGATGCCAATGTTCACATTTTGGACAGAGAGGACAGATGGTTTGAAAGAGGAGTGAAAGAAGCCATCTATGTCCACTGTGAGCGACCATCTTTGAACAGAGGCGGGGGTTTACGACACCAACTCTCTGCCATCTATAATCCAGTTTTGAGATCCCTTCCCAGACGCCTTAACGCCCACTCACATCCTGGGCCATCTGACCTCAGGAATTCGCATGATAAGGTGGGGCCAGGTTTCACAATGAACTCACCCGAAACTCTGGCTGATTGGGACCCACGCCCAGTTTCACACCTTGGCTCAGGCGATTAGAGGATCATCAGGGGGTCCTTTTGTCCCTCTGTGGGGGGAAACTCCCACTAGGTTTATATCTGGGACTCTCCACCATTTGACCTTAGAACTGAAGAAGCTTCTCGGATGAGAGGTGAAACGTCTTCAAGTAACTTAAAGAAGTCCAGACGCTTTTCTTTGCAAGCTCCTTTGACTACGATGACCTGGATGACTGAGAACCTTCACAGACATTAATATGCGTAAATAATTATTTTCATATGTTGAATTAAGTCTGTCTTAATGCTTCTTAGAGTTTAGCTATTATAAGGTGTGATCAGTGTTTCAGCAACCAGCTGGGGATTTTCATCCAACTCTTTAACTAACTAGACTGAAACTCAATCAATACATTTCTGCTTTGCAATTTGCTTGGCTTATTGTCACTTATCCTGATATGCAGCACTCTCTCTTCCTCCTATCCTATGTTAACTTCCTTCTTCACTCCCTACTGCCCTTATGGTGATCAAGGAAAGTGTTCCCCCTAGGCCTCCCCTTCCCAAATCCTATTACCCATTGGATCCCTCCTATACCTTTCCTCCCTCCATCCCTCCCCTGCCTTTTGACAGCACGACCTGGCCACACAGCTTCGGCATCGATGTTGATTACCTTGGTGGTGAAGATTCTGACTTCAGAAAGGTAATTGGGTATTTCTGCTGGTATACTCTCTTTCATTAGAGAAAGAAATAAAATGTGAACCAACCTTGGTGCATCACATTTGTTGAAGTCATGTGTACTTGAAGAGGACATTTTGATCAGCACTGTCACTTCAGTTGGCAGCTGGTCAGCTGTACAGTAAAGGTATAGTACTGTTAAAGAATGGGTTACTGCAATTCCTTTAAAATAAGAAGACTTTTTCAACAATAGTGTGATTGCATCATTGGGGATTCTTCAGGTGTACCAGCTGTTTCTTCCATTACAAGGCATTATCTAATGCATTCTTGAGTTTTTTGAACAGTATTAGAATCGTTCACTACCTTCAGGTTCAGTGCTGACAAAATAAAAACATCTCTGCATTCCAGCCCAAGTTTGGAGAATCGAACAATATCAGTGATGTTCAGGAGCAGGCCCAGGACAGGCAGTCCACCATGAATAAAGGTACAACAGTTTAATATCAAGATTTAAAAATGGCAATAACAATGACAACAATAAATTGGGTATGCAGAACCCAGAGATACATTCTTTAAGGCGCTTATAATAGCAAGTTAAAGATAAAAATTCAGTATTCTGTCTTTTGACGTCTGATTGCATGAATTAATCAAGTGACACTTTAAAGACTGACTCATAGTGTTATGTTTGAGAATACAAACATGTTTTTTTTGGCCTGTACTTATAAGTGTATTTATTTTTTCACATGCACAGTTGGCATTGTTCCTCCTAGAACCAAATCCCCCACTGATGAATCACAGAGGAACTTTACTGAAGTTCATCGCTGTAACAGCAGAGTGCTTAATGGAGTCTCCAGGGTATGTCAACCCACTCTGGTTAGGAGAGAAAAAATATAAGCCTTAATAAACAACAAACAATAATAAACAATGAACAGGTCAGTGGAACTGAGAAACATGTGAAATGGGTCATATTCACAACATTAGACATGAATGCACATAAGAGGTTGTAATGTGGGTTGTACTCAGTGGTTGAGAGGAGCGGTGGAAACACTTAGCAGGACAGTCAGAAAAACTCATGACCACACTGGCACTGGGAATTCCACAGTGCTTGTATTTTAATGCACACTCAACCTTACAAAGACCCATTGAACAGCTACTAATTATCATACATGAAGCACAGTGTTCCTACAACCCGTTGCAAAAAGTTAAAGAGGTCCGAGTCCATAAACTCACTTGCAAGCAAGTGGATCTCATACTCCAAAGTGGGCAGTGGTGCATACTTATGACATCTCTAACCCTTACATTGTCTTAAAGAGACACCACACCACTGCAACTGTTACAAGGTTGATATTCATTTTAGCGCTGTCAGCGTTAATCTCGTTAAAATGACGTTAATGCCATAATCGCCATAACCACAAATCTCCACCGCGTTAATGCGGTTATGGCGTTAACGTCATTTTAACGAGATTATCACTGACAGCATTAATTTATTTATAATCCATTTTATTATATTTTTATATGAGAGAAATTATCTCTAAAAATAAGCCTGTTCTCTGTCATAGGAGCGCCCAAAAAGTGCTGCTTTTCCCACAGAAATTAAGATGAAGATGAGTGTGGAGGAACAAAATGAGCGACTTCGTCGCAACCAGTGCAGTTCTATGAGGGACAAAAGGAGAAGCCTAAACCTGTCAGGAGGCCAGTCTCCAGCCAATTACAAAGTGGTATGAGCAAGCTAATGGTGATCCTTGTCATGTATTTAATTGTAGTATTGTCACAGTGAGCTGGTAAAGTAAAAAATGAATCATGTATGTGTTTATTTTTCAGATGATAGTCATAGCTGCAGTACATGTGTGAAAGAACTTTCACACATGTACTGCAGCTTGAATTTTTTCTCAATATCACACATTTCCCAGATTTCCCAAATTGTTGCTGTCATACCTGCCTACCCCAGTACAAAGCTTTGTAATTTCCATGTGAGCCCATCTGAGAAAGTTGTGGTCTAGCAAATTCACTTGGGTACAATAGCTAGACATAACCCATGTAAACACCAAGTAGTTACAACTTATCTGAAATGGACCTTCTCCTGTTGTGTGAATGTGATTCTCCAACACCGTCAGTTCATGTGTAAAAATGACAGAATGATAGAGATCACTTTACACTGATCACGCTGGGGTGGCTGTAGCTCAGAAGGTAGAGAAGGTCATCTGCTAATTGGAAGGTTGGTTGGTCGATTCCTGCCTGCTCCAGTCTGTATGCTAAATTTTCCAAGATACTAACCCCAAGTTGCTCTCCAGTGCGTCCATTGGAGTATGAATGTGTGTGAATGCTAGATAGAAAGCACTTGCATAGAAAAAGTGCTTGTGGGAACGAGGCAAATTCTGTAAAGTGCTTTGAGCACTCAGATATGGTAGGAAAGTAAAAACCAGTCCATGTACCATGCGTATTGTCCACCTGTTTGCATTTCTGGTACTTCCAGGTGGGTAAGATAATCCACTGAAAAACTTTGCCAATATTTACAAATATAAAACCAGTGATTGAGATAGGCCAAAGTTGTATGACTAGGGTATACGCATTTTAGCTAGCTGATGATTTGATTGTATCTGCCTGTGTGTCCTATCTAGTTTGTGTTTGTATTCACAGGTCCGTAGGCGGCTGACAGCTCATGAGATTGACATCAAAGACTTAGAGAAGGCAGTTCGAGGACAGGGGCAAGAGTCACCAGAGGAAGAAATTGCTCGTCTGAGACGTTTACAGATTGAACCAGAGCATTACAACATCAGCAAAGAGGTGAAATAAGTTGAATCATTTCTTAACTTTGTGGCTATTTTAAGGCAGGTATGTTCACAATAGAATCATAATAGCTTACCTTTGTGTCCAAAATCATAAAAGACAAAGATAAAAGAGATTTTTTCTTTCTTGTTATAAAAGATGGCTCCTGACAAGGTTCTGATCCCTGAACGCTACCTGGATGTGGAGAATAACACTCTCTTGAGCCCAGAGGAGCAGAAGGAGAAGCAGAAGAAGCTAGAACGAATCAAGACCCTTATTGCCAAATCAAAGTACAGTTTTAACTTCCTTTAAATTTCTAGCAAAAGTCTGTTTATTTAAAGCTGTACACATTTTAAATTTGTAACATCTTTTACCTCTTCATTTATAATAAAAGGAGATGATTATGGGCAGAAATCTGTGCCATCAGAAACTGAATTTGAATAAGTTCAATTTGAATTTGAATTGCTCAGATTGAATCTGAATTGTAACTTGAATAAATGCTTTTGAAAACTGAATTTGAATTAGTCTAA